CTACCCGCCTGCCCCACCTACCCACACCTACGCACCGACCTACCCACTCACCTGCCTGCCTGCCTGCCTGCCTACCTACCTACCTCCTCACCTACCTACCTACCTACATATACATACGGGCCAACAACATCTATGTATGTAATATGTGTATCTATATATTTATATTATATTCATATTCCTATTTTCATTTATATTTACATTTACATATATTAATTTATGTTTATGTATGTATGAATGTACGTACGTACGTATGTACGTATACGTATGGATGGATGGATGGATGGATGGATGGATGGATGGATGGATGGATGTACGCGTGTATGTATACACACACACACATATATATATATATATATATATGTGATATATATATATGCATTCAAAGTAAGCAACTATACACATAGATACCTTCCCATGTCGAACTGGGATTCCATGGAGGAAGAGAGTTGTGCCGTCTCTGGGAAGCAGCGGGGAGCTCTGAAGGCACTTCAGATGGAAGCCGTGACTCTGGTTCTCATCGCGTCCCTGGTGGCGCATTTATACTTCTGGCCATATCAGGCGGCCTGGCTTTGGGTCCTTTCAAGGGCTGTGCTCTAGTCGTGTCCTGTTTGTGCGAGTGAGGCAGATGACTGGAACCGTGCAGAGATCGGCCTTTTGATTGTGAGCCTGACCATAGCAGGCCTGACTACCTGCCTCATCGTGACTGGCTCGCATTCAGCGGGAGAGCTTTTGAGCTGGGGGGTTTAGGTTAGGGGTGCTGCGGCTTTCAGCTGTGAAGCGGAGGCCAATGACCTGCACTGGGCGAAGTCCACTTTGACGCAGCGCGTCCTGGTGTTCCTGATTTGCTCTATTGCTGGAGACATCCGGCTGCTATTGCCTTAGGGTCCCAATCCGCCCTTCCTTATTCCTAATTTCCTCTCCCTCCCTCCCTTCCTCGCACTTAATGCGGGTAGCGTGGCAGTCTAACCGAAGCTCAGGGAATTTGCATCGTCATGCTGGTCACCTTCTCCCTCGCCTACCTGGCGGAGCGGCGCCAGAGGGCCGAGGCCAAGAAGGCGGAGGAGGCGTCAGCTGCCAGGCGCCTGAGCTGTGCGAGCAAAGCCATCTGAAGCAGCAGAGATTCTGATCAAACACTCGAAGCGATGGTTGCGGCCAACCCGCGGTGCGAAATTCGGGAATGCTGAGGTGCAGTCTTTGTGTGTCTGTGTGTGTGCGCCTAATTTTAAATCTTGAAGCCATAAACCCTACATTCGAAGCCCTAAACCCTTACAGAGAGTCACCCGGCATCCCAGCTCAGAAGGGCCCCGTTTCGGGATCTCGGGGTCCAGACTTTCACGATGAGGTCTTTGTGACCGAGAAGGGAGGCCGCCGGTGAGCCTCGTGCTGATTGAAACAAGAACTGTAGATGATTAGGTTTGGCATTTTCTGATGGCGAAAAGCAAAAAGTCCGTGGCAAAAGCACATCCTTTCCTGGACAAGCTCCCTGGCTCCTTATTAAACTTATACTCTTAAAGGACCCCCCCAAACCCGATTCTAATCATTAAGGCCCTTTTTTTTTAGGATTTCTTGAGGACTTAGCTTTCCGTTGTTTCGGAAACTCAGGGTCTGAGCCTCACATAGAAACAACTGGGCGCATCACTCCCTGATGGGGAGGAGCCAGCGGAGCTAGGGCTGTAGGGTTTGAGGTTATAGGGTGCGGTGCAGGGTTTAGGCTTTAAGGTGTAGGGCTCAGGCTCAAAGATTTAGGGTTGGTTTATAAGGTTTAGGGCTTACAAGGTTTCGGGCTTCGCTCCACCACGGAGTATAGCGCCGGCAGCCCTTGCAAGTGATCACTCCCATGCAGCGACGTTGCCGCATACTGAACAGCTTCGACACTTGCATTCAAGCCCGGTTTGACATGTAGTGTAACGAGGGTGCTGCTTTATGTCGTATTTGTTGTCAGGTGGACCCTACAGTGGCACCCATCAGCCTTGAAAGCACCTTTGTGGTCTGGACCCTGGCGACCCTGGCCTAGAGTAGGCATCTGCACGAAAGCCCGGAATTCGTCACTTGCAGCACTTCCTGCGGAAGCCTGGCAGCGCCCCGCAAGACGACTCGAAACTCAGAAGCAAGTCTTCTTGCAGTCCGCAGCTCCCGGGGCTCGGACGCCTTGCCCGGGCCGTGCATCTATCTATACGTAGTTTGTGAAAGCTTGCAATTGTGGCCACATGGCGGTGTGCTGGTTCTTGTGCCTCGCCGTCTTCTCTTACCTCCTGTTAGCTGAACGCCCGGGGCTCAGCATTGCGCCTTCTTTTGTGCATCCGCCCGGCCTGCTGCGCCCCTCCTGGAGGCGTTGCCGACAAGCGACTCCTGCACGAGGCCGACAGCTTTCTGATTCGACGCGTGGAGCCAAGTTCCAAGGTCAAGCCCGTCTGCGTTCAAGTTTTCAAGCGCCCGTTTCCCCCCCGCCCTGCAGCCTGCATCGCAATTCCTCCTTGATCCGCCGACCCCAGGTCACGGAGCCAGGGAGTTTGAGCAGCGGGAGAAGCAAGCCAAAGCACCGCTTGCTGTTGTCGGAGTGCAGGACTCCTCAAGCGAATCAGTGACCGCGTCATGATACGTTACCGTGCTGTGCAAGATGGCTTTCCTTTGTGACCTCACCTACAACACTCCGCTGTGCAGGAGACATCAAACGGCACCCGAACGGAAGCCAAGGCGCCAGCCCAGTCCTTGTGCACATGCTGGGGGATTTTCTCCTAAATCCGGTGCGCGTGGAGTCACAGGCGGAACGCCCTCGGTAGATAATGTCGAAGACGAGATTTGAGAGAACTATGCAGTAGCGATTAAAGGTAGAACCCCAGAAGCAAAGATGCCCGAAGATCCGAGGCCTTGAAGCCGCAGAAACTCCAAATTTGGGTTAGGGGCGCCAAAGGATGTTAGAGGCGTGCTATGGTTAATAGGATTTTACGTAGGGAGCTCAAGGTTCATTATGTTTGGTGCCTCGCAGGTATACATAAAATGTAGGGTCAAATAGGCTTTATACGGTTTAGAGCATCGAAACATCCAGTTCAGGTCGGCCTTCCGAAGTGTTCGGACGGTATCCTCCAGCTCGACGGAGTCTACGAGGCCCATGCGGTGCGCCTTTTTGCGCTTTGAGTCGGGGTTTAGGGATGTTTCGGGTTTATTTGGGTTTAGGGGATTTCGGGTTTAGGGGCGGGGCCTTGCAGGGTTTAAGTGGAATTCGGGCTTGAGCTTTGGCCGCGCTTTAGCCGCGCTGCTTTCGCCGCCTGGTCAGAAAAAAATCTCTCTTGAAAGCACATTGCCGCAAGAGATTTCATTGGGAATGAAGGAGGCAACGGGACTCTGCTAAGGAGGCCCGGTCTGAGCAGATCTGGTGTAAATCGGTGTGGCACTTCCTGGGCGGACTGTAGTTCGACCATGTTCGACCTCCACCCCAAAAATCACAACCCCACCTCGTTAACGTAGGACTCCGTCATGCAGGTGAGGAAGCTGGAGGAGGTCCTCGTGGAGGGGCCTTCCTGCCGAGTGACGGGGAGTGGGAGCCTGAGACCTGGGAGAGGCCCAGGAGTCGAAGCTGTGGCCGCCTTGCTGTTCTCGAGGTGCCGAGCTGCTCCTTTGGGCTCCCGTGCGCTTCCAGGGCAACCTGGTCCTCGCAGGGCAGCTGAACGTAAAGGCTGCCGGCGACGGCGGCAGGGTCAACGCCTCCTGCATCGCGGTCAACGGCAACTTTACATTGCACCCAGAAGCTCGCCTCAGCATTGAAGGCTGCAATAACGTGGCTGACAAGGGTGATGCAGGCAAAGGAGGCTGCCTGCGCGTCGGCCGTGATGCCGAACTTCTGGGCGGCCAGTTGCTTCTGAGGGAATGCAGCGCAAGCAAGGGGCGCGGAGGCGGCATGTACGTCAAAGGCCGGACCGGCATTTGCTGCTTTGACTTAGAAACACACCGTCTTCGAGCGCTTGCTCGTGAAGAGCTCTGAGACACACTCATGCTGCTTAATGCCAAGCTGAGAGTTTCTGTGCAGCTGTGACTGTTGCAGGCAGACTGGAAAGTCGGAATGCCACGATCGATGCAGAAAGATGCGATGCAAAACATGGAGGTGGGGACAGCCCAAATACTTCGGAAGTTTGTTAGGTTTCCAAACTCGAGATTGGGGGTTTGGAATAAAAAGGGGGGAGCAGACCCAGGCAGGCCCGGCCCGGCAACCGCTGGTTTCGGGTTTGGGGTTGAGGCTTTGCAGGCCTTACAAGGCTTGCAGGGTTTAGGGTTTCCCGCCTTAAGTTGGCGGTGGGGTTTGCCTACGTAACTCGCAAGTTTGTTCGGTCTCACACTCACGTCCCCAGAAGTGCCGCTTTCGGCTTCAGGGTTTAGGATTTCCGGTTTTAGGGCTTAGGCAGCTGCTTCGGGTTCGGGCATTTAGGTATAAGCAGCGGTTGAGCGACGCTGCCACATACGCGCAGGTGCCGTCTATGCAGAGAACATGGACGTCTCCGGTGGCAAGGTGACCATCAGCAAGTCTACGGCTTGGGAGGACGGAGGCAGCGGGGGAGTGGGTCGCTTTAATGGTTCTGGAACAGGAGACGAGGGATCCCCCCCAAGAAGTGGTACGCAGAGCGTCATGGGCTCTGCAGTTTTGGAGCGGAAGGTTCTTCGGGTGCAAGGATTGAGGGGTTTCCAGGCAGATGCTGGTCCTGCAGTAACACAGCAAATATTTTTGTTAAACCAATGTTTGCCTGGTCTTCCCTCGCAAGTGCATCTTTTTGCCCGAGCCGACTTAGCTACAGCAGTGTACTTGAAAAAAGTTAAATGGCAGAAAGCAGGCCTTGGCGGAAATGGTGGTGTCGAGGGCTGATTCTGGGCTGAGTGCAAAGCATAAGCAGTGAGTCCTTGCTGGCCGGGTCCGATTCTGGGTTCAAGGAAGAAGGCCAGCTTGCATATCAAGGTCGTCAGCTTGCGTATCTTCACCGGCCTTCTCGCCTGCAGAGCCGACAGTATGAGATCATGCCGATAGCATGAGAAATCCAGTCGATGCTCCAAGCCTGGACCCGATTCCCTTGCAACTACCTTTTGTTTAAGGGTAGAATGCTGGTGTGGGGTTAAAGCTATCAATCAGTACGTTCGCAAGTTCTGGTCGTGAAAGCTTTCGTTGAAGCTCCCAGCTGCTGGTGCTTCTTCAGTCTGACATTTGTGTTCGCTGATGCGGCTCTGAAAAACTTCATCCGATGTGTACTTGTAGGAAACCTGCGGTTCCGCCGACGGCGGGCGTTGATGAGAAAAAAACCTAAATTTAAAAGTGATTTCTTACATATTGCATCGCTGCAACATGTACTCAGTTGCTCATATCTCCTACGTTTGCGCCATCTCCATTCGCACAAGAATCGCCTTAGAGTTGACGGTGAGGTTTGCCCACACAACTCGCAAGTTTGTTCGGTCTCCCACTCGTGTGTAGCGGGAGGAGTATAGCGGGCACCAGGCCCTGGCTGGAAGAGGACCGCTGCAGGCCATGAGGCCTTTGGTCCCAAGTTACATAGATCACTGCACAAGAATTATCAACCACACAATCTGCATCCTATAACCACTGATGGTGGACCCATCCAAGCACCCACCAACAGGTGCTACAGGTACACAGACGTCAAAACTGTCAGCGTGAAAGGGCCGAAGCTCGCACAAAGCACTGACAAACTCGCGACACCAACAAGCAGACAAACATAGACCACAACACAAGACATAACAACCCAAAGGGGACAAAACACCAATCAACACTCACAGACACAAGAAAGACGAAACACAACACATCAGACCAACTACCTAAAAACAGACAGAAATCACAAGCTCTCACTCAGAGGAACAACCCGAACAGAAGACAACGACACAGAGAACAGCAGAAGCAGAACATGAGACATCAACAACATGCTAACATAAGGCGGACGTGCATTGCATGAGCATTACCATCACGAGCATACCCGCGCACGCGCCCAAAGTAGCACTAGATGAAGACTGCAAGAAGCACCGCATTACAGTACCACCCAGTCCTGACGGTACAGGACGCATAGCAGCCGGACGGTACCGGTCTGCTTCTCAGAAAGCCAGTGGGCGGAACCACTGGCTACCCCGCAGGCAAAGCAAAGCAGTAACGAAGCATAATGTACTACCAAAATCAGACAAGAGGCTCAGCGCTTCTTCTGCCTCTCTTCCACGAGCGAGAGGCGGGTCCCAGCCGCCCTCTTGCCAAGCCCGGACACCCCCTGTGAGCCCTTGCCAGACCCAGCCGAGCCCTTCCCACCAAACCATGCCTTAGCATCATCCGGCGTGTGCCCCAAGTCCTCCAGCACCTTCCGTTGGTATTCGCCCGGGATGAAGCGTCCAGGCCGCAAC